ATTCTCTCAGCGAACTGCGGTCCAACTGAGGTCTAAGGCACCTGTGGTTATATGCTCTCTGGAATGTCTGTTCTTGATTGGGTTTCTTATTCGATTGCAGCTGCTCTCTTTGCTGCTTATTATTCTTGGTGATCTGCTGGAACTTCTTCTTCTTCTGATACTTAATCGATCATATTATTTTTTTTTGATGACTTTGCGATTTTCTTCCCATCCACAAACCTTGAGCAGGGTGCTTTTAAATATAGAAATCGAAGATCTGGTTTTCGCTTTTCTAGTACTAAAATCTGGTCCCCTCGGCGAAGAGAATGCCAAGCCATATGTTAGTATTTATGAAATAAAAGCACCTCTTAAAAAACTATCGGCCGTTCGAAGATGGTTTAGAACAAGCTGGATATCCCTACCTATGTTGAGAAAACATCAAGACGCACACTAGATGTTGGACGGGGAACTCTACAAGTCACTCATCATTGCCGTCCTACTAAAAGGTACAGAAGCCTGAACAATGTCGACATCCGCTGACGTAGCCTTGGGAGTCATCGAGAGAAGAGTTTCGCGGATGAGTTATGGTACTTTGCGCTTTGGCAAAGGCGACTACCGTAGGCGATGGAACGATGAGCTCGACCAGTTATACGGTGACATTGTCATAGTTCAGTAAATGAAGAGACAGCGACTACGCTGGTCAGGTCATGTCGTCCGAATGGATGAAAAAACTGAAAATGTTCGATACAGCACCCGATCAGGTGGGAGAGCGACCTAGTTGCACTTGGTATTTCCAACTGTGACCATACAGCGAAAAGAAGGTACGAAACGGTGCCTACGACAATGAAGAAGAAGAAGAAAATATGAAGGTTTTGAGAGCTTTGTTGGAATAACATCAATACCCAAAACCACAAATTGGAGGAGGAGCTCGGCCGAAAATCTCTCAAGTGGTGATGCAGTAATCCCTGTTAAAAATAGAGAAAGAGTTTCCTCTTTCACTTCGCTTGAAAAATAGAGTTCAAAGGAACAGTTGGTGTGCTATTGTTGACTTAGCTATAACTGCGAAAGTGGAAGGAAGAAGAAGAATGAAAATAAGATGAAGAAGAAAACGAGAACTGAAGACCTTGGACTTTGACGAAAATTTAGGTCATGCAACAGACAAATTTTCTCACTTCTTTTGATTGGGAACCGCTGCAAGGTTGTTTGCTTTTGTTGAAGGATCACTACCTGTCACTACAAAGAACACTTCGATTTGAGTGCTTCGATAACGATCGCACAAGTCAATCCGAATTTGGTTACACCTGTCAGCGTGCATTAGTACTGATTCATGCGATTCGGCATCTATTTATGGTCGACATGAGCTTTTGTAATTACATTTACATACACACATTTACATATGTATATATGTATGTAGTATTCATGTGTGTCCTTAGTTGATTGAAAATTCAAGTAAATCGCCACTTGACTGTTCGGATTCCAATTTAAGTGATGGATAAGATCGGGTAATTAATGTCTGGGGTCATAAAGTACTATTTTCTGGTGATGTCCAACAGGCGCTGATTATTTGCGTTTGAAGACTTTGTGTGATTGAAAAAAAAAAGAAAATATTGAAGAACAGATTTTTTTAATTTTTATATTTTTTTTATAAAGTTATAAATTTTATTTAAAAATACTTTGTATGAAAAATAAAAAAATGAATGAATAAAAAAGTAAAAATATTTTGTGCTTAACTTGTTTTTTGTCTGCTATTTATATGCTGATTCTATAGTTTTAGTTTTATATTTGAAAAAAAAAAATGTAATTTTTAATTTTAAATTTAAAAAAAAAAAAAAATTACATAATTTTTTTTTTCGTTTCATTGACTCATATTTTACTCTAATTAAACAAAGTTTTGCGGTCACATGTTTGGAATTTTGTGGCTTTCACTTATCCATATGAATTCTTTATATTGTATTTGAGTCGATCCCTTGTGTGTTCTACATAGTTGTAACGGTAACATTGAATAACTTTTTACGAGCCTCCTTAAAATTCGAACACGTCCGGGAATATGGATTTTTTATATACTCGTACATATATATTAACTATAAATACATATACATATACTATCTTTGTATCTAGATATAGTATGTACATATACATATATATTTATAATCTGTTGACATATGTACCATATGTATGTGTGTGTGTATGTTCTTGCCAAGTTCTTGAATTCCATTTAACAAATTTTAATTAGTCGCATCTTAACTGAACAGAGATTTCATCAAACAAACAAACAAACAAAAGCAAACGCAAATTTACTTAAGAAATAAGCAAGAACCAAGCACGGGTTGGGCCGAAATATTGGCAACCGCGCTCTTCGCCCGACCGGATTAGTACAATCTGGTTCGTATTAATAAAGAGTGTTTTTCAGACGTGTGGTTTTTAATTAGGCAATACTTTTTACTTGCTCGGTTTTGCACCACATTTACTCCAGTGGATAATGCGCACCCCTCAGAAACGTCGTACAGTGCGCACTGAAAACGCTTTTGCTGTTGTAGCGCAGAGTATCGAAGAAGATCCGTGTGAGTCCATTTGCCATCGCGCGCAATAATTGGAGCTGAGCCCATCGATTTTCAGGATGATTTTCCGGCTGGATCTCGGTTTGTGGGCATACAAAATCAAATTCGTGCATGAATTGAAGCCGAACGTTCATTTACCGCGTCGCACATTCGGTGAATGAGCCCAAAAAGGGGTGGCCACCGATACCGAATTTCTCAAGAAAATTCTTTTGAGCGATGAAGCTCGGGTTGAATGGATGCGTTATAAACAAAAAATAACGCACTTGTAGTGATGATAGTCCATAAGGCATTATTGAGACGCCTTTACATCCTGCCATGGACAAAGGGAACCATTGGTCCATAACTCTTCCAAAATAAATCCGTTCATAATGTTACAGTTATTGGGGAACGGCTGATTTTTTCATGCCTGAATTGGAGGGTGCTTCAACAAGACGAATTATCTCACGTCGTAGACCTGTGGCGAGGCCTCCAAGATCGTGCTATGTAACACCACGGTGGGATTGTGTGAAGTATTAGTTTGTCTAAACAGATAAGCTTGAGACGATTGAGGTCTTGGATTACAATATTTGATGGGTTGTTGCTGCAAAATGTGTCATATGTGGGTAGTTGAACCCGTCGGACATGAAATAAAAGCTACTTTGAAAAATCCACCAACCGTGCGGAGGCGGCTTAATAAAAATTGTCGGGCTCTCTATTTACTGCTAAGTTTTAAAGCGCCCATAACTAACTGGGAAAAGAGCTCGGTCTTAGTTCTCTTAAAAGTCATTCAAGAAATTAATGCCTTAACGAGCAAATAACTTTCCATTATCACTTCGGTATGCTAACTTGCTTGAAACTTGCTATGAAACTACGACAATAAGAATCCAATAAGCCTCATTCTGTAAGCTTCCCTCAGCTTATACTCGTAGTCTTCTCTAAAAGTATAAAGAAGAGCTTGTTCTCATTTCCCAGTCAAACCGCCACTGCCGTGAAAGGCCGTTTTATGGTTTATTTTCACCCTTTTGCTGATGAGTGCCGGTCGATTAGATAACCGATTAGTCATGTGTTAAAAATGATCAATCTGGTTACGAGTTCTTCGACCTGTAGAGAGTCCAGTACCAGTTGTTGTACGTAGAATATATTTCCGGCGCCTCAACCTATTTAGGGATCTTTCCTTCTAGAGGCTATATTTTCCGACAGTTGAGCTGTAGATATCTTCTTTGCCCACTCTTACGTCACAGTCGCCAACCAAAATTTTTATATCGCGGTGAGATAGCGTTCGGAAGTACGCTCTATGGGCGCATAAAAAGCAACTATCGTCGACAAGCTGAAGAGCTTTGATACGAACTGTGGCAAAGCGCTCATTCTGCATCTCATGTGAAAGCTAGGACTCGGCTATTATTTCAATTCTTAACCGGCGTTGATATCTGCCCTATGTTTTACGAGTATATCAAAGAAGTGCGCACTTGCATCTTTCGGAAATTCCAAGTACGTACTCTTCTATCATGGTCCTTGAATCGTTGGCACATGAGTATATTGGAGTGGCTCCGCTGAAGTTTACTTTCTTTTAGTAATGACCCAAGGCTCCACACGAGTTGGTAGCCACGGGTTGCTCCCTTTTCTTGGGTGTGCCAGAGCTAGTTTTTGCTTTCTCGTTCTTTCCGCTATCCGTTTAATACAAATTCCAAACAACCGTTAAGTGTACAAATTAAAAAATACCCTGAGCAACGATCTCTGTTCGTCCAGAATCAGAAATCAACGAAAATATACTAAATGTGCCTACAACAGTGAAGTTTATGATGGCGAAAGAACATCGCCAAAGATTAAAGAACCGATTGAAACAAATGAATAAATAAGTGACTGTGTGCAAGTGTGAGTGTTGAGTGTGTTTGCGAAAGAAGAGTGAAAAGGGTTATCTGGGAAACCGCCGCTATGTCGAAGCTATATTGTCCGAAATGCGTCCGCCAAAAGAAAAAAAAAAACGCAAACGAACGGAGATCAACTTATTTAATTAATTTTTTTCCTGTCGATTTTCGGGGGAGGAAATGCAGTTACAAATACAAAAATTTTGCAAATACAGGTAAGTGTGTCTACTTAAAGAAACAAAATGATATGCAACATATGGGAATCGTAAACAAAATCTGCAAATTTACACTTATCACCATACATACATACATACATACATACATGCATACATATAAACACACGAGTATGCATGCACGTTTGTGTGGATATGCGCGCTGATATGTAAGTGTTTGAGCCCCATCAAAGCCGCTGTCGATGGTTAGATATGTGGGTATATAAAGAACTGTTAGGCAGCTGGAGCAGAGTGTAGTGTAGAGAGATCCTCGTATAAAGAACGCAACGCCAAGTAACCAAAGATCTTTCAGCCAACAAACGTTACAGGAAGCGCAAGTGCAAGATTTCTGGTGTTCAAGAACTCCAACAGAAGACGAACCAAAAATTTTAGAAAAAACAAAAAAAATGTTTTTAAAAATTTCAATATTAATCGCACTGCTGGCTTTGGGTATACAGGCTTTACCCAATAAGGAGCAGCAATTGGTACAACAACAACAACACCAACAACAGCACCAACAACAGCAACAACAATATCATCAGCAACAGCAGCAGCAACAAGCAACACTTGAAGAACAAATAGCGGCATGGGCCTCCTTCTCACCGCCGGTAAATAGCGTGCAGAAGGTGGATGCTGGATCGGCTATACAACAGCAGCACCATGTCATACACCATCAAGAGGTGCCACTGCATGGCCATCCAAGCGAATACCCAAGCATACACGCAGGCTCCATGGACAATACAATTGACACGCACTCCCACTCGCCCATACCAACACAACCTGCTGCCGGGCAACCCAATCAGCAGAATGATAACGAAAAGGACCGCCACTACGCGCCTTACCCATATTTCCCCTACTATGAGGATCAAGTCATTGTCTATCCACAAAATGATGAAGACGTACGTGACTCTACCGAAGAAGAGCAGGAGGTATGGCCACCCGTTGGTATATATCCGCCACCACCGCCGCCATCCACAATAAGGCCAACATTTTATCCACCTTATTATCCGACATTGCCAACGAAACCAACGGCACGTCCAACAGTGACAACCACAATACGTCCACGTCCACCACAATATCCACCATTGTATCCGAGTTATCCGAAACCACCACAATATCCTTTGTATCCGTTGGATCAGCTACCGCATTTGCCACAATATCCCCGTCCCACGACTGCGAGACCGACTACTACTACTACTACTACACGCCGCCCGACCACTCAACGCCCCACTACTCAACGTCCTCCGTACCAGAAACCGGGTGCTGGTGCTGATGCTGTAGTGCTGGAGAGTTATCAGGTACTCTCCGATAAGGGTATCACAGCGTACAAGTAAGTTTTGCGGATTTTTTTTTGTTTCCCCATTTTCAATCCGGACTAAACTCCTTTTGCTTCAGATTGCGTCTTAGCAATGGCCTGAATGATTACAAGAAAATAACGGAGAAGCAGGTTGGTAAGGACACCATTTATGTGCAGACTGGTTACTACTCTGTACCGGTGAATCCAGAGAAAAATGAATTTGTCATCTACCGTTACATTGCCGACGAGAAGGGTTATCGCATAACTGGCGGTAAATTTTTACTTGAAACTAAAATTTTTATAAATTGATTTTTTAATTTTCATTTATTTGTATTTCCAGTGCAAACTTGCGCAGACGAAGCCCAGTGCCTAATAACTTTGGGTAACTAAATTTGGAAAACTGCAGTATTACATATCGATTTCAACGCAAACTGTACCTATTTATATGTATGTGAACGAAATAAAAAATTATCTTTATCAAAGTCTCAGAGTTTCATTGTTTTTCACAAGTTTCAGTTGCTTCTGTAGCAGTCACAAATCGTCCTTCCTCCGAGCATCGAAGTTTTACCACCCCTCGGAGTTTCCGAAGCTTTGATCGAAGTTTCAGATGTTCCTTCTTTAGAGTTTCAGGTAGTTCGGACAGAATTTCAGATATTTCTTCCTCAGAGGCTTAGAGTTTTGTCCTTCAGAACTTTAGTTGCTTCGGTCGGAGTTACAGTTTCTCCTTCTGCGGAATCTTTACCAGATCTTTCTCCCCTCAGTGATTTGGAACGCTTGTTCTTCATAGTTTGAGATGGATGGTAAGAGTTTTAGCTCATCCTTCCTCCGAACATCTCAGCTCTCAAAGTCTCAGAAGCTTCAGTCAAAGTTTGAGATCTTCCTTCTTTAGAATTTCGGATAGTTTGAACTTTCTTCTTTTATCGGAATTCGATAGAGTTTCAGATAGTTGGAACGGAGTTTCCAATCTTTCTTCCTCAGAGGCTTAGAGTTTTGTCCTTCAGAACTTTAGTTGCTTCGGTCGGAGTTTCAGTTTCTCCTTCTGCGGAATCTTTACCAGATCTTTCTCCCCTCAGTGATTTGGAACTCTTGTACTTCATAGTTTGAGATGGATGGTAAGAGTTTCAGCTCATCCTTCCTCCGAACATCTCAGCTCTCAAAGTCTCAGAAGCTTCAATCAAAGTTTGAGATCTTCCTTCTTTAGAGTTTCAGATAGTTTGATCTTTCTTCCTTTATCGGATTTTGATAGAGTTTCAGGTAGTTCGGACAGAGTTTCAGATATTTCTTCCGCAGAGGCTTAGGGTTGCGCTAATCTGAACTTCAGTTGCTTCGGTCGGAGTTTTATTGTGTCCTTCTGATTCTGTCGAAGTCTCAGATTGTCCTTCCTGAGATGCCTAGAAAATCGTTAGTGAAAGCTTCAGTTGCTTCAGAGCTCAGCACTTTTTCCCCCAAAGTTTCGGAATTACTGTGTTTCAGAGTTATTTAAAACTCTTCAAAACTTCAGGTCAGATTTTACAACTACCCTTTACAGGGTCCCGAGTTCTGTTCTTGCTACGAGGACACAGCAATCGGAGATGGAAAGCTTCAAAAAGACATGTAAAGAGGCAAGAGGCATTAACAAATGCAATGCTAGATATAATGACATACAGCAGGACTGGGAATTCCTTTGAGGAGATGTATCCAGGATATCCAGGAGCTGTTCTAGTAGATGCACTTTTTTCAAATCACGCGGAAGTCGTTTAGTACTTTATCATGAAAAGATTTACGTCTGGTCAACATAATCGGTCTACTGAGCATACTATTCGCAACACTATGACCCATCTTGAGACACAGTATTAATTCTTAGCTAATATTCGGCCGAAAAGACCGCTTCCAATACGCTGCGAAGAAAATATAGCAGCCTTAGCGGAGAGTGTACACAAAGACCGCGGAGAGTCGATTCGGCGCCGTTTTCAGCAGCTCGGACTGACGTATGGAATGACTTGGAGCATTTTACGTCTAGATCTTGAATTGGAAGGGTGCAAAATACAGCTTATGTAAGGACTGAAGACCCTCGACCTTCCCAGGCGACATCGCTTCGCTTTATCGGCTCTTGAAATAAATTTTGGTTTTGAGGTAAATTTCGTTCAGCGATGATGGATTTTCTGGCAGAACGGGTATGCAATCTGAAGAGATTCAAAAACTACATTTTAATGCAGAAAAACAATGGTTTAGTCAGGGTTTTGGGCCGGTGGAATCATCATTTCTACATACCGTCAATGGCGATCGTTATTGCGTTATGATAACCGACTATTTGATGTCTGAAATAGAAGTTCGTGATCTCGTCGATATTTGGTTTGGTCGATTATCCACCAATATCGTGACTTTTTCTGTGAAGATATGTAAAAGTTAAAGTTTATGTCGATAATCCCGCTTCGATTCAGACCTTGGAGCGCACATCGCACGTGTCTTTCGCCAGCTACCAGTCGAAATGCTCGAACAAGTCAACGAAAATTGGACTCAACCAATGGACCATCTGAGACATAGCGGCGGCCAACAATAAAAAGGGATAAGCTAAAAAAAAAAAATGCCGAAGTATGTTCTTTCGAATGGTAATAAACAGTCGCCATTAAATTTTAATTTTTTGTGTTTTTTCTTTAAAAAAGTGCGGAACCTCTAAATGGATTACCCTTTACAATGCGCCTGATTTAATTTTCCCTCTACCTCAAAAAGGGTCCTGGGCAGCTTTTGACTTTATTTTAGAAATACAAACAAATTGGAATAATTTATTTCTATAATTTTGTTATTAGGCCGGCTGGGATTCGAATTCATATTAGTCTCAATTTAGTTTTGAAGTTTTAATATACAATAAAAATGAAGATTTGTTTGCTCGAGTAAGGCTGGACCAATCATGATGAGATTTTCAGAGGTTGTTCGTTGTGGATCTTGAAAGGTTAAGAAATAAAGAAAACCTTATACTTTTCCTTAGTAAAAATCCGAAAATTGAAATTTGTCTGTATTCGGAAAGTAAAATGTCTCTTAATGACTTGGCAAAAAAGTTCCGCTTTCCCAAAGTCCAAAAAAATAGCAAGTTCTTCTTTGAAATAAGTCCAAAGATCAAAGTACAAATTATTAAATAATATTCCTTTAAAAACCTATTTTTACATATACATATATATTTTTAATTATTTCAGTAAAAAATTCCCCAATTCACAGGCATAATTGGAAATATTTAGCACTCCATTTCTATAATTTTTTTCTTTTATTCATGTGCTTTCCTAATAAATTGGAAAATATAAAAATACAACAACAACGTTTTGTTTGTTTATTTATTTACTTTATATGTAATTTTGACAATTTTCTCCGTGAAGAACTGACTACACTCCGCCTGATAAATATTATTGCATAAAATGTATGAACTTTCGTGCTTTTCAGTAGCGTTTAAATATTTGTGAAGAAAGGCATTTCCCGAATTCTTCATACTAAATGAAATACCTTTTCAAAAATATCGAAAAAAAATCTATTTTGCAGAAAATTATTTTTTTTTGATTTTTGCCTACTGAGGGAGGCGCAGCGTGACATATCGACCCCGGGACTCTGTCAAAAGCAAAAAAAAAAAAACAAAAAAATATTATATTTATTTTCAAATTTAATTTATTTAAAATTGCTAGTGATGCAGCAAGTAGATTTCGACATCATCAGTAACACCTAAAACATGCACTTAAGCACACAAATCACTGTTCCGCTGGCTGCGTGTGAGTCACTACAGCAGATCCTGCGCTGTAAATTCGATAAAACTGACACAATTCATGTAGCATTTTATCTGCGAAGAGATAACACTGCATTTGCTGTTTCATTAGCTCATGTAATTCTTAATTAAAGTTGACTTATGAAATACACACAGTGAATGAAGGAAAAACGGTATTGAGTTCAAAATTGAATTATTTGCTTTATTTTAAGTACAAAAAACCCAACACATACATTTAATATCGTATAGCCTTTTTTTTTGAATGTTAAGTAAATGTTGTTTTTGCTTATGCTTTGCAAAATTATTGACGTCCTTTGTTCGGCCTCTCTGTGGCATAATCAATGCTCTCCTTGAATTGTGGCACCTCGATGGAGCGTGGCAGATTTGGGTAGACTTGTGGTGTGATTGCTGAAATTACATTTTAGAACAGTAGGAGAAAAATGTTTATTATAATGGGATAGGAAATTTTATGAACAGTATTAAATATTATTATTTTCTTTTTGATGGTTTTTACTCATCCAGAAATGTTAGACTTAAATGATTTTGTTTAATCTTCTTTAATTAGCATGCTTAATTAATGCATGCTGTTTGAATTTTTTTTTTTTTTAATATTTTCTTAATTTTTTTTTTTTTAATTTCATTATCAGCCATTTTTATAAACTACTTAACTAGTCTACTACTAGTTACTTGTAGGTTAGTTTATATTTCGGCAAACGTTTCTCATATTATTATTTATTATAAACTACAAAACTAATGCTCTTTAAAGCGTGTGGAATCCCTTCCGAGGAACAGTATCATCTTTGCTAAGACGGGCAATGCCGTTATCACCAGACATACCACAAGAGGTATCCCTCAAGGAGAAGTCTTATCTCGACTGTTACAGTACCTCAGAGTGAACACGCTGCATCGACAACTAGATAGCATAGGTTGTCACGTGTTAACTTACGCTGACTATTGCCAAGAGAGCGAAAGGGGAGCTCACGCAAGTCTTAAGTGATTTACTCCAGAATCGTTTACACATAGTGGGAAGCTTGTGTGAGGTATGTGGGTTAGATGTCAATCCAGTGAAAACATTTTCACAAGTTGATATCAACCACTTCTTTTAAAACCAATCAAGACATGGCAATCATTCTCTCCACTAAAGTCAGATATTTCGAGTTAATTTTCGATATCAAGTTCATCAGGAGGCGAAATACGGCGGACAGATTGGTGAAGGCTATGAGCTTCGCACATCAAAAATGGTCATTTGCAAAAGATGGGACCTAAAACAGATTGGAATTATACAGAGCTAACCATTCTATTAGACGGGGTCTCTGTCTACGGCTGTCTGGATGCGGCACAGCTTTGGAGGTAACGCCCTACAGATATTATCTTTCGCGCAGTTTCCAGGGGTGTTAAATTACGCCATCTCCACTTAGTGTTTAGACAAATGAATCCCGAAAAGGAATAAATGATAAAATCCAAATATCTCGGATCAGAATTATATAGCCATCTTCACGAATTACTCCAGACTCGATGAAAACGTAGACTCCGGAATTCACTCACCAACGCTCTCAATCAATTTTCATTTGATGATACCAGACTACTGAATCGTTTTTCAAGCAGACCTTTTTGAAACACGGAAGCCGCGGAATGGTTGCTCTGGTTACAAAATCTTAAATGCAGAAGCACATTTTAATCTCTCGGCTAGATGCAACACAGCCGTGGTCGAGGTGCCCAAACAGAGGGACATCTCAGCCAACTGTGCGGCGGTTGAGCTAGCGGGTGAAGCAGTCTCGTTACAATAAATTCTACGCACGTCGCGTTCGTACCCGTTAATGCTGGTTTTTGCCAAAACAGCCAACAGCAGGTCAGCACTTCATTAATTGTTCGGACGATTGGTAAAGGCAATATCGCATATGTCATAAAACACATGGCATAGTTTGTGAATCTGAGATGGCGAGAAGTGCACCGCAATGGTATCACAATACACCTTTAGGCCTAAGTGGGCTGGTCGCTCTGACCGGAAACCGTATCAACTCAACTCAATCAACTACTCAACTAGTCCATGGACTGCTTTATATTCAGCCAAAAAGTTTTAATTATTAGAAATAAGCAAAGTATCGAATTGTATACTATTTTGAGCATACTTAACTAGTTCATAACTAGTTACTTGTAAGGTAGTTTGAAGATTTTTTATATTATTAAAAATATAATAAAGAATGAAATTTTTAGATACTATTGTAATGTATTTAACTAGTAGGTAACTGCTTATTTTTGGAGTAGTTTACATTTAGACAACAAATTTTGATACCATTAAAAAATTATTTAACTTTATGATCACCTAGTTTTCATTTAACAGAACTGAACCAGTTGATTATTGACCGAGTTATTTTTGAGAAAAAAAAAATTATTTAAGAAGTACAGTAATAGAAATTGCTTAATAGTTACTTACAGCCCTAATTTGGTTTGATTGTGACTGGTTATTTTTGGACTAGTAGAGATTTTCGTACTAAATGGTAGAACAAAAATAAAACAATACCAAAATTACGGCATTAATTTGATGTCAATAAAAAGCTTAGTCTTTTGAATCACTTTTCGAAACTATACGTTAGGAGCAGTTCTACCTTTGATGATTGAATTCTCTTACTCGAAAATATATCAATAACCCAATACTAAACATTATGTTGACATTCGAAATAAGCTGTTTTCGCATTCAAACTGTGCCAAAGCTACTTACTTAAGACCACCTCAACTTTATTTAAAAATTTTGGAAAACGAAAATTTTTTAGATCATGAAAAATTTCTAATTTGTTCTAAAACCAGTCAAAAATGTGCACATAAAACTAGTTACTTTTGAACTGGTTTATATTTTTGGCATAAGAAAATTCAAATGCATCAATATGAATCTCCAATATTGGAGCAGTGAAGAGCTTAGATTTTTTCTTCACTATTTAACTAGTTTGTAACTAGTAAGTTATAGATGAATGTATATATACATTTATCGCCGTGAGTTGCTCTATTACCAAGTTGAATTTAAATAACGATATTTTGCTTAAAAAAGAGTAAGCTTGATTTTGGACCAGTTTATGTTGTGTCACAAAAATGCGCGAGTAGTATGCAACTGGGCAGTCGGAGACTAATTTTAGTATTGAACTTTTTTTGTATGTCAAAATACATGAATCCCATTAATAGTCTTAACTGTAATTTAAACCAAACTTGTTGGTTTTTTTGGACTAGTTTATATGTTAGCAAAGAAATATTTTTTTAGGTGTATAATAGTTTGCATTATCAGTTATGTATAAATTAAGAGCTTAAGTTGCTTAATAATTTTTTAACTAGTCCGCAACTCGTTGCTCAGAGACCAGTGGTAATGTTTCTCCGTGATTATTTAAAAATATTTTATAATAGTACTGTTATACTCATATGTATATTGTGAGTACTCTTTTTCAAAAGTTTTTTGCAGGCGAAAACGGGTATGTAAACAACTAGTTACTTTTGGACCACTTTACATTGTGACACAAAAAGCGGAGTAAAAACAAAAGTCACTGAAACTTCATGCAACAGTTCTTGTTTAGAAAGTCACACACGATAATATTGCAACTAGTTAAGAACTAACTACTCATGGACCAGTCCCATTTTTTAACTCCTATTATTTAAAAAAGAATAAGAGAGCGTTTTCAGCTCTGAAATAGAACTCAAATCAGGTTAATATTTCGCGTGCAAAAAAGTTAAAACCTGTTCACTTGCACTCACTACGTCGACACATACATGTGTACATATATCACAACCGGCTCATATAAATTATATTTTAAATGGAATGAATTAAATTTGTTAAATTTCTTTTTTGCCCACATCTACTTACCAACTCTCTGCCAAATAATACTCACATTGATTTTGCCTGTAACCATTCTGATCCGCATTATAGAAGACTGTAATGTAGCGACCATCCGTCTGACGATAAGAGTAATAACCGACCACAACGAGCGTCTTTATTTTGTCGTAGATAAGGAAATAGCCTCGTTCATAGCGCGCCGTACCATCGGCCAATTCATATCTGAATTCATAACTGCCATCCGGGAAGCGATGATGGAAACGCTCCAAAACGTCTTTTTCCTTTGCGAAATCCTGTTGATGTTGCTGCTGCTGCTGTGATTGCTGTTGGTAATGTTGTTGTTGTTGCTGTTGTTGGTAATGTGGTTGCTGTTGCTGATTGTTGTGCACATATTGATTTTGATTATTTGTGAAATAAGTTGTTGGTACTGCTGCCGCAGCGGCGTCATTTTGCTGATAACTTGAATATTGACCATTTGGACGTGCTGAGTTGCCATTGTTGTTGCTGTTGTTAATAGCTGCTTGCGTATAGGTCAGCAATAAGCAGAGTACAGCGATGATGGTTGAGTATTTGTTCTCGTAACCGGCGGCACTTGAGCGATACATTTTGACTTAACACTTGTTATCCTTCGCCACAAAAATGTTTCAAAATTCTTTTTGCGTTTCACACCTCCTTGTGTGGCAAGTGCGTGGTGATGTGTGGTGCTGTGTGGCGCTGTGTGGGCGTTGTGTGTCGTTAGTCGAAAACAATTTAATGTAAATGCTGACTATGCGCGAGCTTTTATAGTACTTAGCTGCGGGCGTTGTGCGAATAAAGTTCGCTACATGCGAGTGAATATGTATGTGCGTATGTATATTAGCATGGTGAGAAGGAATGATGAGCTCACAAGCGTGCGTCTCTAAATAAAGATGTCAAAAATTTGAGACGCTTCATCAGCTAAATGACTTGCCTGCCTGCCTGCTTGCCTCTTCGACGGCCGGACGGCTGGTTTGTGCGTTGGCTGTTTGGCGGGTGTAATCACAGCCGGCATCTGTTCGGCGTATGCTTTGAAAGCGTGGCTGGCAAATATATCTCAAAATGTATGTATGTCTGTTTGTATGTGTAAGTAATTGCGCACGCATAAATTTTTGTCCTCACCTGTTGCTATTGTTGTTGCCTGGCTTGAGTTGATTACTATTTGCCACACAAGTTCTAAGATTCATTTACCTCGTGCTAGTACACACATACATGTATACATACATGCAAAATCTGTACAATATTTTTGGTTCTAATTTGCCACGGCATTCAAAAAAATATTTATGCGTTCTTTATTGCGTGTACTTTTCACCGGTTACATACGCAGGAGTGGCGGCAGAGCGAGACGCAGAGCCCAAGAAGTAAAGTAAAGCTAAGCTCGTTCGGCACCGAATATTGAATATCAGGCGGATTATTATATGTTTGGCTCTTTCAAGCCCATTAAGCGATTTTCGACAAAGCTTATGCTCCACTATGTGATGATGGATTTTTCTGGCAGCTTTTTATCTCATGTGAAAACTACACTCGGAGGGCTCGACGTTCTCTGTCGAGGGGCAACCAGAATCAGACAAATTAACCGGCCTTCCTAATGGCAGTACGCATGGCTAACCACTCGGCTCTCGCGGCTGCGGGCGAAAAATTGTAAATTAGAAGATCTCGGCACAAGATCCCCATGATCGCATATAGCACTCAAAATAAAGAAGAAACTTCCATAATCGTCAGTGGTGGTGAAGGAGAAGGACAAAGCGCTAGAGTAATTAGCAAGTTTCTAAGGATAAGTAATCGGCAGGCAAAGTGGTCAAGTGGATAGTATAGCGTGCTATAACGCTAAGGGTCTCCAAAACCTCTTGCTGTGTTTGCGCCCCTGGCTGTTAAACACTCTTCATTAGTTCCCTGCCACCATATCCAGGAAAGTTCGCTTGCCACTCTGACGTTTTTTAAGTTTACTTTTCATTTATTTCCGTTTACCGCTTAGGCAAGTCAAGTGAACAAACTCAAAGTACTCCGTGTCACAATTTGTACTCAAGTATAAAAATCGAGCGCAGTCAACACCTCAGGGAGGATCACATTGAAGATCATGTTGATAAGTAATTGTTTTCTTATGACGATGAGACTTTATTCACTTTTATTTCCCGTGTGTTTAATATTTAATTCGTATGTTTGGTATTTCATTCGCCCCTTTTTTTACAAACATATTTTTTCATTCTCTTAAGTTTTCATCTCTCTACTCTTTCGGCTTTATCTGATCTGCAGTGCGTTTTGTGCGCCGGCTCATATGGGTACATCGAGATAGTCTCTCTACCAATAACATAAATATGAGGCTGAACGTGCTTCAGGCTCTAAATGTTTTTTGAAAAGTTCAAAATACGCATATACAATATAAGTAGGTATGTAAAAATATACGTTTATAGTAGAATCACTGAGTTATTGTGGAAAGCATAATTTTTGTGCCTGTTTTTTCTTATACCTCTTACTCTATAGAATTTTGGGCGTTGCTAAAAAATCATCAAAAAATATGTCGCACAAAAATTTCAATTGCTGTCATGAAAATATGCAGCTTTTACCGTTTTAATTTAACGGTACCTTAAAATTTACATTTATTTTGGAGGAGTCATAACTTAAAATTATATTGGGAAATCAAAAAAAAAAATTATTAATGAAATGAGAATAAAATAAAAAATAAATTAAATTAAGAAAATAAAAAAATTAAATTAAAATAAAATAAAAAATTAATTAAATTAAGAAAATAAAAAAAATTAATTAAATTAAAATAAAATAAAATAAAATAAAATAAAATAAATTAGAATAAAATAAATTAAAATAATATAAAATAAAATGAAATAAAATAAAATAAAATAAAATAAAATAAAAATAAAATCAAATAAAAGAAAATAAGATAAAATTAAAGAAATAAAAAATAGTTAAAACTAAATACAACGAAATATTCTAAAATAAAATAAAGCAAATTCAATTTCAATAAAATTTTATTGAATTTAATAATACAATAAACATAAAATTAAAAGAAATTAGACTAAATATACTCTACGACAGGTTCTCTGCGTACGCTATGGGTGTGCGCAGATTTACATTTTTACGTTGAGATAGAATTTTTATGAATGCTGTGAGTTTGTTCACCTCTTTATATTTATTGGATGTTCAGAAATTAGACGAGTTCTTAATACAATTTTTTTGAAGATTTCTTCAAATTTATTTTTTATTTAATTTAAAATTTCAATTTCTTTATACCTTAGATATGTAGATGTATATATGTATATTCATTTGTTAATAATTTATATGTATTTTTTTGTACCTCTCGAAATTATTTATTTAATATTAATTACCTCAATTTTGGTATAGAGAAAAGATATCGATTATTTTTGCATTAAATTTTAAATACCATATATTTTTTTTTTATTTATATACCGATTTATGTAAAACATGCACTGATTTGCCATTAAAGCTCTCAAATGAAATCCCTTGTCTCTATTGTTAAAATATAGGGCAATCGATCTTCACAGGCTTTTCTTGAGATCACTTTTTCACCAGCCAAATCATTCGCTATAAAAAGGATCAGATGGTGGTTATAATAAGAATCATCAAACGAAGATCTCGGAGCACTTACTTAGTGGATGGTACGATTCAATGGGTCTGTTCTGTGCATGTTTTCCATACCTTTTTTATGCCGTAACCTTCGTGCAGCTTGAAATTAAAATAGAGAAGATGATGACTTTTCTCTCTCCATTTAGGGAGGGCTCGGATCATTATCTTGCCCAACTCCGCCTATAAGCATCTTAGATCGTGGATGGTTAATCGAAATAGACTAGCTGATTAACTCCATCTTTGTTGTCATTGACGGCTCATTAGCTCTGCTCTGGACGTCTTCTTCATCGCTGCGTGGGTTTTGAGCTTAATGATGTAGTTAATTATTTCACCGCATCCAACGAGAGTTCATAATAGTTGCATCAAAATTCTGAAAGACCTTCTTCAAACAGCTTTGAGTGTGGTTTTGGAGAACATGGACCCACAGAAGCATAGCCAATTCATTCATCAACTTTGTTCTCACAAAGATTGGTGCCTGGAATGAGTCTTTTCTCGGACGGTCTTGCTGCCCTAGTGTGTGATTGAAACAAGTTATTCTTGAGCCAGGAATCAGTTTTCGGACAAAACGAGTTAAGTGAACCAACACTGAGCTGCGACAGCCTCTTTTCTTATCAAAAATTCATTGTTTCCACCTTCTCTCTTACAATACACTTGAGGCGGAGGACGATGGTAAAACAAACTACTTAATAATTACATTGATGACTTTCGAAACGATGAAGCGGACTGGATGGTCATGTGTTGCAGCATGGCTTGATGAGCAAATTGTTACTTATTATTCGATAATAATAGTAATTGCAATTACCATACATATAAGTAGAAAAAGGAAAGCGAGAAATGAGTAAAAACCAAAGCATTGTGTGGATAGAGTATTTTTTTTATTACTTTTTCATAAATGTTCGTCATAAACAATTCACATCGGAATATTATCGTTGCGTAAACCATATCCAATCTTTAACGGCTTAATCGTCTTAATCCTCAATCGGCGTAACATCTGATTAAAAGTTATAATGCCATGATTGAACTGGAACCGAAGGAGCGGCGGTTGTTGAGTGAGCTATGGCCGAGTGGTGAGCTGAGGGGACATGAGCAACTGATGGATATTGTTGGTGCACTTGAGAAGAGGGATGAGCTGGTGCGTGATGAATAGACGGTGAATGAGTTTGTGAGGGTACTACTGTTTCGGTGTGAGGTGATGCAGATGAGTGAGCGGGCGAAGAAGAATGAGATGCGGTAGCCTGAGAATGAATGTCTGAGTGTGAATGTACACCAAATGAGTGGTGATCGACCGATGTGTAGGAAGAACCTCCCAAAGAGCTCACAGAGGAGTGACCACCAGTTGAAGAGTGCACTTGAGAAGCGGGAAGAACAGATGAATGAGCTTCTCCATGTGAATGCACTGCAGATGAATGGTGAACATTAGAAGATGCATGAGCTGACGATGATGAAGGAATTCCAGCTTGTGTCTGGACTACTGATGAAGGATAAATACCGGCAGAGGAAATAATATTTGAGTTAGATAGCACGCCAACAGGCGAATATACTCCAGATGTGTGTTGAACTTGACTAGGAGCCGATGGAACGCCTACTGGCTTATGCACTTCAGACGGTGAATGTGGTGATACCGACGGTGCGTGTGAAATTCCCGCTGTAGAATGAATTCCCGATGAATGATGACCTACATGAGATGAATGAACTGCAGACGGGTAGGGGCTTTCAACCGCTGAGTGTACTGCACTCGGTGCATAAGCGGATGAGTGATGAACTTGCGATTGTTGACCTGATAATGATTGACCTTGAGCACCAATTTGTTGGTGCACTGCTGCTTGATTCACTGATGCTGGCTGCCTTGGTGGTGCTGAGTTTATTTGCAAGAATGGATTACCAGTCGGCTTTATATATGGACGTTGCGTTGTGGCATGGGAGTAAACATGCTGGTGAGCTGAATGAGGTGATACTGGCGCTTGAGTTGCATACACCGATGAAGGTGCATATTCAGGCACTTCGATACTACGCGGCAGGGTTGGTTGAGCCCTGCTATATGTAGCTGTTGTTGAATAAAAATAACGAGAGAGAGAGAAGAAAGTTTAAACGTTTGTTTTGCTTGTTGACGAAGAAATGATGAGTTTATGAGTAAAAAGAAGTCTTAGAAACGCTTACCTGAATCCTGCCGATATCCATTTTGATCAGCTGTATAAAACACGGTTAGGAATTTGTCGTGCGATAATGGATAAGAGTAGTATCCCTTGCGTGCGAGTACCATACTCTTGCCGGCAGGCAGCCAATAAGCACGTTCATAGCGAGCCTCACCGTTGCTCAGTAAATACCTGTAGGGAAAAGCATATGTTGAACACTTACTTTAGGTAAGGTAATTAAGGAAGCTAGCAGGGGAAGAGGGAACGTTTATGAACTGAGTTTAATATTATACTGATAAGAGAAGAAGGAGAAGATTCCTTTTCCAGATGGAGAAATAGAGATAGAAATATATATAGGGAAAGAGGAAGAGAAAGGGAAAGAGAGAGAGAGAGAGAAAGAAATAGGAAGAGAAAGGGAAAGAGAGAGAGAGAGAGAGAAAGAAATAGGAAGAGAAAGGGAAAGGGAGAGAGATATATAAAGAGAGAAAGAGGAAGAGAAAGGGAAAGAGAGAGAGAAATATAAAGAGGGAAAGAGGAAGAGAAAGGGAAAGAGAGAGAGAGAGAGAGAGAGAGAGATAGATAGAAAGAGGGTGAGGAAGAGAAGGAGAATGAGAAATAGATAGAGAAATTGAAACAGAAAGAGAGAGAGAAAGAGAGAGAGATAAGGAGATTAAGAGATTGATAAAGAGAGAAAGATAGGGAGATTAAGGGATTGAGAAAGATAGAGAGAGAAAGAACGAAATAGGAAAAGGGAGGAAGAGAGGTAGAGAAAGAGAGAAGAAGAAGAGAGAGAGAAGAAGAGGTCTCGGAGATAAACTAGTAGTCTGAGTTTGTAACAAGCAGGCATAAGGAAAGAACTGAACGTAGCTCGATAAGAAATTTCCTAGCCTACATTCCGGTGAGCAGAGTCCATGAACTCTGCGAAACCATTGTAACTGCTGAAGTGGCTTTGACCGCGCTGTTCCTTCAATTTGTGGTTTTATGTCTTGATATTTTTCCAATAATCGGGGGACCTAGAGTTTACTCTTAACAGCCTCCAAACGGCCGATGGATTTTTATAAGAATATTTTATTTGATGTCAGAAATAGAATCGGAGGGCTTGAAATACCCTGACATTTTTTTAGTGCTAGTCGAAATAGGACTCGAACCCTATGCTTCCGAAAGATACTTTCATATGTTAATCACTTGGCTATTTCGACCGTCAGAACCCTTATGCTTTTCGCATATTAGGACCAGCAGTTCTGAACTCAGGAACAAGCTACAGCACTCTGCTTAGAGCCACGTGCTTTGTGGTGCTTCGTGCTTTGTTAATTGTGGAAAATTTAGGCCACTCCGAGCTAAAAGCTTGAGGTGGATTAAAGAAGTTTTTTGCAGAGTTGCTGATACGTTCCGCCTTCCCTAATCATGGCAACGCGCGGTGAACTGCAGTTCGAATGGTAAGGTTTGCTCAAAACAAAGCAAAATTTAACGAAATCCGACCCTACCACGCACTGTTCATAACATGCACTGACACCACTTTGGTCTCTCCACTAAGCATGCGTGTTTGCGCTCAAAACGCAATATAATTATCCCACTTACCTGTACTCAAAGTGTCCATCCAAAGAACGATGATCATATTGGTCAATGACTCTCGGTTTGGTTACGGCCGCAGGATGATAAACACGTTCCTCCTTCACATTTACGCTCGCAGCAGGTACCATACCGCCTCCCACGACAGCGCCCATTTGACCGCCAACCTCAACTACATTGTTGACGTCGGCCAAAGGCGCTTTAGTGGCTTGTTGTTGGTATTGTTGCTGTTGTTGTTGTTGTGGTACAGCGTTACAACAATACAATAGCAAACAGGAAGCATACAGGAATACACTCCAGATTACCACAAATTGCTGCGCCATTAAAGTTACTTTATTGATTCCCTTTTCACTGTATTCGTTTTTTTGTTGTAGTTTGGCTTGCGCTTTTTGTACGCTCTTTACGTTGTAGTATTGTTTTGTTGTATTTTGTTGCGCGAACTTCGAATAACGTTTTAACGGTTTTTATACACACAGAATAATCAAGCGTTGTGCGTTGCAATGTCGTTCTCTCAATGATGCCGTAGGGATGCAGAACTTTGGTTTTTATACCCGAGAAAATAATTTGTTAATGTTTTCTTCTGCAAAATTTGTTGTTTGAATAAATACCACAAAAAATTAAAACGAAACGAATGGAGGATTGATGAAGGAAGTGTTCAAGTGTTCAATTGTTTTGTGCTCCTCTTTGTCATTGCTACACATGGACATACAAACACATATACGTGTACAGCTAAGGTCGCTTAGCATTGGCTGTGAGTTTATTGGCAGAGTTACTGTGCTAGTGTGTGGTTGTAGTTGTAGTTGTAGTTAGGCAATAAAAGCCTGGAAGGTTGACCAAAATGTATGAGCAATAATCAGAAGAAATTCCATGAAATTTCTGGGTCGAGTGGCTTAAACTTATACTAAACGTACGGATATTCTTAACCGCATACTCGTACATATATATATATATATGCACTTACATATGTGCGGCAGTTAAACCTTCTGCACAAAAAAGAGTTTAGTATCAAAAAAGTTCTGTTTGTTTTTTTTTTTGTTCAATTTGAACTTGCGAATGCAAATGTAGTGGTATGCGTGGGACTTCATTTGCATATGCACATTACACACTAACATACATACATACATACATACACATGCTTCACACAGCAGTTAGTTGGCAAAAGTAGGTTATACGAAAGAGCGTTCACTGCAAATGTGCAGTTAGTATTATTGGCCATTGACCAGTGACGCGAAAATTTGTTATTCAAATTTGTCTGCGCTTACTCGCCTGCCTGCATGTCGTACATACATACCCTGCAGGGAAGTGGCTTCATATCAAGAACTTTTGTTCTTGTATTCCCTCGGCGCTGATCCGCCATGGTTTTCATCAGATAAGACAGAACAGAACAGAACAGAACAGAACAGAACAGAAGAGAATAGAATGTCTTTCGGGTAGAACTAGAAGGTCAGAAGGAGTTAAAGCGAACTGCAAAGCGGTCAAAGTTCGATGATATTCATCTTTCCAGCTAAAGAACTTATATTTATGGCTTCTGCCTAAGCAAACTGCAATAAAAGAAGATTTATATACGGACAAGTCTACGAGCGAAACTTGATTTGTCGCAAATCCAGCTGATCTTTAGATAGTCGTGCAGCAGCTGTGGACAGAATGATCGGCATTATTCTTATGATTGATCGGTCTCGACTCCGTTTGGTTAAAGCCGACGCTGTGTCGGCTAAAATTGGTTTCATCAAGTGAAGACAGGTCTTTATCTACTTTATATTTCCAACAAAATGAAGGTCTTCCTCTTCCGCTAGTTCCACCAACGGCTACTGCGTTAAAAACTTTTAAAGCCGGTTGGTTCTAGGCTGTACAAACGCCCGGGAAAGCTGCAGTCTCTTAATTCGGTGCACCATATCAATGTCAATGTCGTCGTATACCACGTACAGCTCATTGTTTCAAGGTCTGCGTTCTTCAAAGAAACATATATTTTCCACAAACCCCTTATCTTGTAAACTGGAGCTATTTCGTCTCGTTCTGGTACAATATCAGACCCATTCCCTTCGCTGCTCTCTCTAATCTGGAGATAGCAGAGCTAAATGATACCGTATCTTCGGTATACGCCTGGAATTGTATAATTTTGTACCATTTACCAGAAACGATACTTTCTTATATGGTAAAAACAGCTCACGACAAGCGGTTTTCGACCAAATATGCCGTGAGTAGCCCACCAACATCTAATTGGAACCGAGCTAAAGAGGGCGAGCCACAGGGGACATGCGAAGCCTTGGGATCCACCACGAAATAAATCTGATCCAATAAAGAACTGAACTTAAGCCACCTCATTTTGCCAAATGTTTTATAGATCTTGGACATGATTATAGAAAGGAAAGTACTTTATTTGCACACGCCCTGCCAATGAGAAGAGACGTTGAAAAGCTGACTTTTTGAGGGTTCAGAACACACCAATAAGTGCAGCCCCCGCAACGTAAGAAGAAATCTTCGGAGTCTGAAAATCAATCGTTCACTCCATTCATGTTGTAACATTTCCAAGCAAACTCGGATAGAAAAAGATTATACTATGGATGTCAGAGCATAGTAAGACTCGAGTTTTTATCGACCATATTTTGAAAGAAGAAAGACACGTCTTCAGTGTTCTAGATGTGTGTACTCTCCGTGGTCCTAACGTCGACTCGGATCACTATTTTGTTGCAGGCAAGAATGCGTCCGCCTCTATGTAGCCAAGAACACAGATAAGGTTCCAGGCTGAAAAGAGCCGACAGCCGGTGAATTTCTCCTAGACTTGCACTTTTGGTACCTGAGAACATTTGTCAAGAAATCAATCAGTCTGCGAGGACGGATTTTTTTGGGCAAAAGCTGGTTCTCATAAAGAATGTTGAGCTATAGTGAAGAGAGAACATGCTACGCTACCGACAGGTGCTCGAAAATTCTATGTAAAACTGCGGCTTACAGAAGGTTACAAGAATGGAACATACTCTTTTAGGAACCAAGGAGGTAATATGTTGACCAAGGCACGCATCATACTTAGTTTAAGGAGTTTTTTTTAATATGCCAGCTTTCTATGAAAATTTCAAGAAACTCGGCTAGTGTTTTCGAGTACGCTCTTGACATAACCTCATATTTGTTCAACACTTCTGCTACTTTCTTCTCAATCAGGTGCCCAACAGAGTGGTTAAGTGGCGATGAGCTCATCAAATTGCACAGATGATTTGTTTTACTCGGCAGTAGAATGTTCCCAGAGTACATTGGGTTTGTTCAGCTAACGGTTGTATGTAACGGTACAAAATAATTGAATTAGATATGGACATATATGTTTGTATATAAAACTTTGCGGATTGACGAGACGTGCCGATTTAGCCATGTCTGTCTGACCTTCCGTCTCTTCATCCTTTCGTCTACATCAGGTATATCGTTGATGGAAGAACACTTCAGATGGGCGTGATGCCATACACTTTTTGAAATGTTACAAGTTTTGGTATGAACACGATATGAATACGGAAGCGATTGGACAACAACGGTCTCATATAACGGATTTTTTAGTTTATACCATCGGCTTCACTCATAGAGGATTAATTCAACAGAACTCAATCGAATATGCGAGATATGTAGCATTTGATGGGGATGAGGTTCTACCACACATGCTAAGCAATCGACTGTATGTGGAGCAGATGGTCTTAAAGTCATTCATAACATCCACACGGGGCACCCTAAGTCCGCTTTAGTCGGTCACTTTGATAAACCAGTTAACCCAACTGCTTACAGCTGCGGATGATCAGGCCTTCCTATCTTCTGCCAAACAGCCAGTGCCATTAACGCGTGTAATAGATAGAGGCCACTTAAAATCGCAGCGGATTGAGCGGACAAAAAAGGCTTTTCAGTAAACCTGGAAATATCAGAGAACTGTCTCTTTACGAGAGAGTAGGAAGTTCAGCAATTCAACGCAACAACTCTATGAAGTAACATTTTATTACCGTCCAACTCTGTTAAGTATCTCGGCTTAGTTCCTCCTTAAAAAACTCAGTTGGATGGAACATTTTGAAAAGAGGGTCAGTAAAGCGCTCCTTATTTCGACAAAGCCGCCCGCCTAAATGTTCTACACAGTTGTTCCCAGTACCCAAATTGAGAAGCACATTCAGAAAGTTATAACAGAACTGGGGCTAAGCCATGAAAGTGTCTGAGAAACGGTGACCTTTTGACGGGTGGATGTCACCGACACCTTCCCTAGCAGGGAAGAATGGGCAGAAGGCGGGTTTATCCGAACAGTGAGTATAAACATATATATTGGCGACTAAATGTGAGGTAGGCTTTCAGCCGATTGAGACGTCACAGCTTTCATGACGCCCTTAAGGGGTAAAATTGGATTAAAGAAATTAAAACCAATTATTAAATCCAGCAAAAGAGGCGGTGCACAATGAGTCTACTTTATAACTTAGGTTCTTCTGCTTGCGGTTAGATCCTCAACCCCCCCTTTCAACCATTCAACCACCAACCAACCGCCAACCAAGGATATGGGATCTTCTATCTTTGAACGGATGTTCGGTTCGACTCAAAATTTGTGCTCCTTTCTTTTTAATTTTTTTTCCAGCGAAATCCCTCAGTTTTTGCGCGCGCTAAAAAGTCTCTACAGCAGCGTAACGGTTACAATAAAATATCTTATTATTATTTTTTTTTTTATTATTTGTACCTCTTTCTTTTTTTTTTTGCTCTCCGCTTATTATTCATCCATATGCATTTTCTACGCTGACTCCTCTTGGCTCGCAGCAGCAGCAGCAATAATTCTTTGTCTTAAAAAATTCTGCGCCTAACGGCTCCGCACGCATTTAAGCCATATTAAATGCATTTTAGCGGGATTATAGCGATATTTGCTTGCTTTTTGATTTATAAATTTTTTATTATTTTTTTTAAATTATTTAAAATTTTTTTTTATTTAAAACTTTTTGTTTTTTTAATTTAAAATTTTTATTTTTAATTTCGTACCAAACGGAATCTCGTTCACACAATTTCGCATTCTTACAGTTTTATAAATATACTTACAGTTATACGATCGCATGGCTATAAATACGTATTTATAAGCACCTGTGTGTGTATGTATGTATGTATGTCGTTATGTGCCTACTTAAGTATTACATTTAACTGGCTCAAGTGAGCAGCCAGCCAGCTTCAGCTTCAGCTCCAGCTGAGCGCAGCTCAGTCGAAAGTCAAACATTGCTGCCGGTGAAATTACAAATATTATGTGTGGACATACACACATATGTATACAATCAAACAAACAAGTATGTATGTTATGCACGCATGTGCATTGCTTGTTGTTGTTGGCGTTGAACGC